GAAAAGCTCTTTAATACAAGACAAGTGAAAATATAAGGGGTGAAATATGTTGCGGTTGTGCTTGGGTGTGAATTATAATAAGAGGCAACCAGTTCTTTGGGGGTTATTTTTGCAAATGCTTTATTCTACCTGTGGAGGAATTTGCCTTTTTATCTGGTTTGGGAGCTTCTCTATTTTTGTCTAAATGTTTTGTTTAGGATAAGAGGTAAAATTCTTCAGTACAATTTGTAACTTCATCTTATTTGCCATTAGAAGCAAATGCTACCTGCTTGTGGTCTTGCCTAAGACTGACTGATTTTGTAATACCTCCCAGCAAAGGATAACATTGTACTGAAATGATCTCAAATAACATGTTGACATTTGTGTTTTGTGGAGCAAAAGTACAGTCAAAACCACTGAGATACGGTTGCCTCTGCAAGTAACACAAAAAGAAGGTGTTACAACGTTGTTTAGGTAAAATTTTCGGTGAAGAGCGAGCCTGAAGAGGGAACTTTATAGTTAACTCCTAGTCTTCTGCTTTGAGACATTGCAGTAATATCTGGACCAATGTCTGTGATGTTTGGCTTAAAATATGAGAGATTGGCTTTGGAGGATTCAGTAATACTGTGAACATGAAGAAGTGACATGTAATAATAAGAATGTGTAGGGTTGAGCCAGGTAGAGGAAAATGACATGAAAGATCTCTTCAACTAAAGAACCTTCTGAAAACTCTTAGTTATTGTTATTGTAAGTTAGTAACATAAGCATCTTTATTCCTTTAAACTTTGTTTCCAGAATTTTCTGATTCTTAGTGGAAATTATCCTTTTTTGTTGCAATTTAAGCTGTTTACAAGAAGCTGTTCCATTGAGGAGATGTGATATATACATACCCTGTATTTTTAAGGGAGAGCTGCAAGTACTTGTCAGCTGTGCAACACTTCATCATCTCCTTGTTCCCAGAAACTATTATTCAAAATAAAATATTCCTAATGCAGTATGTTCAGATTTTGCTATGTTCTGAGAAAATTTAAATGGCCTTTTCTGAACTATTGCCTTAATAGGGTTCATTGTGCTACCTCTTGGAAGTAGGTTCAGTGAAACCAGATCAGATGCTTAGTTTCTGGGTGAGAGGAAAAAAATTACATTCTTAATCCCAGGAAGATGAAGGGAGAGGAGGAGAGAAAGAAACAAGGAAACTTAATAATGGTTCAGACAAGTCTCCCATTTTAAGAGAATAGCAAAATTGTGCACAGTGTCCCCTGAACCTGTGTGCTCGGGTAGTAGCCACTAGCCCCAGGTACTGAAGACTGACGGAGAGGGGAGGATCCTTGGAAAAAGGCATGAGGATTTGTTGTTGTCTAGGCTGTTATTCAAATACAACTGAAGTATGTAAAGCTGCCCTCCACCCCTCCTCCTTGGAAAACCAATTTGACCGTAATCTGTATTTTTGAGCTTTAAATGTTTTTTTCACTTTACATTCGTCTCAGTTTTGCTTTTTCTGTTAGTGTTTTAATATATCTACTTAATTCTTAATGAGTGCTTAAATAATGAAATCTGAGTCACAGGTAATATACGCCTGAAATTAACTGATTCACTGGCATTCTGTCAATGTTAAAAACTGTTTATTGGAATAAACAGTCACACTGTCATTTATGGCGTTACCATCTAGACTGTATCAGCCTAGCTTGTAACTCATGAAGAGTCATACATGTCAACTGTTTTTTAACTTCCTGATGTAACTTTTCACTGTGGGTTTCGTCTGGGTACAAAGTGCGTATATTGAAACACATCTATAGTAATTTGGATGTTGTAGTAAAATAGTTCAATCGAGTTCAGTTGCACAGAATATCCCACCAAGAATTTTAAGTTAATATTGCCATTGTAGAACTGATTTCCAAATGTCTGCCTGCCTAGTATGAACAGCAGTTAAAGTATTTTTGCTGCAAAATAGCATAAAATGCAGTTGATTGCATTTTTAATGTTGTAGAGTGAGACACAATCTTGTTGAAAAGACAAATAGCTAAAAATGTGTAGGAAAATAATGTATGCGGGAGGCTCAGGAGCTCTGAAAAACGATTGGCTCACTCAGTATTTTGGAAAACAATGAAAATTAATTTTTTTTTCTTTTTTATTTATTTTAATTTAGAAAAAGAGTCATTCCACAATTTAGAAAGCTTGCTGGTTTAAAGTTACTGAATTTCATGTTTGTAATAAACATGTTGACAGTTCACTTCTGAAGTTAGATTCCATCCTGGTAAGATTTTTCACATTAGGGGTTCACAATGTCAGAAGTTAAACAGGCAGTAATTCAGTTTTGCAGCTTTTCTTAAAAGCTGCTTGGTAGCAGATATGAATTATTTGGACTAACTATTTAAAATTAAGCTGAAAGTGGCTAAATTAGCAAAAGAAAAAAGAAGGAACTGAAGTGGAGAGAATAAAAGTCCAAACTCTGCTTTTAAACTTGCTCAGAGTACTACAAAGGCTAATTTGTGCAGATCTTCAATGCTGTCTGTGACGCTGTTTTGGGTTCCTCGGGTTCAGCTAATCCTTCGGATGATTTGGGTACTTGTATGCATTGTGGCTACAACATGGCTTGGGTTGGTTTCTCTTCAGTGGTCAGGTGCTTGGGTAGCTTCTGTCCTTGACCCTCAGAGGCTTTTCTGGCGTTTGGTGGACTTCTTGACTTGACTGTTACCTAGTGTGTAGTAGATACATTTGGAAGTAGATTCAATGTTTGGCCCTCACCTGAAGATGTAAAGCAATCTGTTTGCTCCTTGCTGTTTTCTTGACTTCGTTTACCTAGATTATGATAAGGAAAGCATGATCCCAAGCATGATCTGCTTGTAATACCCCACGGAGACTCTGGTCAGTTCATTGTCTTTTCGATGTGGTTAGCCCATATATGGATATATGATTTGTTCAGCAGTGAAAGAGTCCACAAACAACAATGTATTGCTTTCTTCTATTGTTTCCAGTTTGTTTCAAAGCCATGAGGGCTAGAAGATCACCGATTTGTGTTTTAATTGGGTAGCCAAGATTCTATAGCAAATTTAAAGGGTGCTAAACTTAAAAAGAATAACTAAAAAGACAACAACAACTCACTAATCATCCTGTTTTGGGGATCTGAATGAAAATATTGTACCAGCAGCTGACCATTTTGCAAGGCAGCACACAGTGAAGGGAAGAATTCCATCTAATATTGTTTATACGATTCTCACAGAGTCTTACAACCATGATGGTATTCAAAATAGGTAAATTAATATCGCTTAGGTAAAGTACAATGCAAACAATACTGTTTACACCTGATGCAATTTTTATTCCACTGAGATTAAAAAAAAGGAGCATAATTTTAAAAAATATTCAGATCTGTTCGTTTGCATTAGGACAGATATCTGCATGAGTATATTATGCAGCTGATTTGTGAAGGGACTTTTAAAATCTCTGTAACTCTAGTGTCTGACCATTGAATAATCTTTTTTATTTGTTTCTCACAATGCCCTTTACAGATGGGTCATTACTCTGTCTCCCATTTGGCAGATACAAACAAGGCACAGAGAAAGGCTGGTGTGACGGAGAAATGAGTTTACTTGTTTTGAATCCTAGCCTATTTTCCTTACTAAAGCAGAATTTTAGGCATTCAGTTGACCTAAAAATTAATTCAGATTTGTGGCTTAAATAGACATATTCTAATATGATGAAATAATGTACCTTATCTGTTTTAGTAAATTTAGTCTTTCAGTCATTTTTATGCTTCTAGAAATTAACATATCTGTAAGTTGTTTTTATAATGGAGATTGAATTTCACAAATCATGAAAATGAGGTGCATATCTGTGTTGGCATGTATGAAAAATAGTGGTTTCCATAGAGAATCACAGATAGGGTGAAAGAATGACAGATATTTATAAAACACAGTAATAATGCTTCTTTTGTATATTATTTTTCTATGTATATATATTACTTTGAACAAATTACTACTTTCATTCAGTCAGTATCCTACCACAAGTAATATGTCTGCAGATGTACTTTCCCTTTCACAGTTTAACTTTCTGTATGTCTGTGCATGGATTTGTTGCCATTTTTTAAAGGGAACGAGAAACATTGCCAGGTTTTCTGAAGAAACATTCGATATAAAAACAATGTCTTTTCAAATGTTTTTGCAGCATCAGTAAAAGTGCTAAAGAGTATGTGTGAAAACTTTTATAAGTATGCAAAACCGAAAAAAATTAGAGTTTGCGTCGGGACGTGGAATGTCAACGGGGGGAAGCAGTTTCGAAGTATTGCCTTCAGAAATCAGACCCTCACTGACTGGCTTCTAGATGCACCAAAGTTAGCTGGTATTCATGAATTCCAAGGTAGGATTTGTATACTGTCAATTTTTTCTTGAAAGCTCTGATTTTTGTAATTAGATCATAAACGTTAAAATAGATATATGAGATCTTGGTTCTTAAGTTAATTGTAAATGACAAATAGCTTTTTTAATATTTAAATGCAGATCGCAAAAGCAAGCCTGTAGACATATTTGCCATTGGATTTGAAGAAATGGTGGAGTTAAATGCAGGAAACATTGTGAATGCCAGGTAGGTGATACAATCTCTACAGTACTAGTTTAGTAGGTAACCAAATTTTTTGAGTAAAATGTTATTTAAATGTTTTTTTCTCCTGTTTTGTAATGGTTGGGATTAGTCTGGATTAATTTTTGACTGTGTGCCAGTTCTCTCTTGCCAGTTTCCGTGCCAGGATTGCAGACTTCATCTCAGCTTTCCCTAGCAAAGCTGTGATCACTTAGATCACATGTAATGTGGTCTCAAGGATCCAAACAGTCAGTATTTGACCATATTTTGGATTGCACCTTCAGGAGCCTCTCAATTTTTTCCTTCATTTAACACTTTGAAGGAATTTACCACCACTGCTTGTAATGTTCTGCAGGCTCTGTGCCTTCTTACTGCTGGGAACAGCGAGTCCTGTGAAATTCCTTGCTAAAGCATGTATTGTTGGTATGCCTTCATATAGTGTCTTGCATCAGATTTTGATCTGGATAAAGCAAGGCTTCCTTCCATACTGTCAGGTTTTGCTGTCGTTCCATATGTTACATGTATATTTTATCGTGGAGTTTGGAATTTTCACCACTAGGGGAGTGGGTTATGAAAATATATTTTTACCAGTCGTGGGTGATCACAGAATGGTGGGGGTTGGGAGGGACCTCTGGAGATATAGTCCAGCCCCCCTGATAAAGCAGGTTCACCCAGAGCAGGTCACACAGGACTGGATCAAGGCGGGTTTTGAATCTCTCCAGAGCAGGAAACTCCACAGGCTCAGTGAGCAGCCTGTTCCAGTGCTCTGTCACTCTCAGAGTAAAGAAGTCTTTCTCACGTTAAGGCGGAACTTCCTGTGCTCCAGTTTGTGCCCGTTGCCCCTTGTCCTGTCGCTGGGCACCACTGAGAAGAGCCCGGCCCCATCCTCCTGACACCTGCCCTTTAGATATTTATAAGCGTTGATAAGGTCCCCTCTCAGCCTTCCCTTCTCCAGGCTAAAGAGCCCCAGGTCTCTCAGCCTTTCCTCACAAGAGAGATGCTCCAGTCCCTTAATCTCCTTTGCAGCCCTCCACAGGACTCTCTCCAGTAGTTCCCTGTCCCTCTTGAACTGGGAGGCCCAGAACTGGACACAGAACTCCAGATGTGGGCTCATCAGGGCAGAGTAGAGGGGGAGAGTAACTTCCCTTGACCTGCTGGCCACACTCTTCTTAATGCACCCCAACTATCAGCGATATCAGTGGTGAAGTCTTTGAGTAGTCCTAGGATTGTATTCACTTTGTCCATTGTTTTGTCTGCAGGCTTTGCGTGTTTTCTGGTGTTTAGTGAGCTTTAACTCACTAGAAAAGGCATCTAAAGCCTATAACACTGTCAAGCTTTGCACAGGCTTTTGTCGTGAGGACAAAGTGGCAGTTTGTCGTCTCCTGATTTCACACTATGTCTAGTTAATGCTGTTTCAGGGTCTGATATTTTTCATTTATATCCAACGCTAGCTCTGAAAAACATAGTGTATAAGGTCTCTAAGGAAGTTTCTTCTTGATCTGAGGTGATGGATGTCTCTGTTTTCCAGTATTGACTGAGCTCCAGGATAGGAAGTAACTCCCTAGAAAAATTCTTAGGTTTTGCTCCTCTGGTCTAGCCTCGGAAGTACAGGAAAGATATCCCTGGCTCCTAACATTGTCTATGGTGTTGAGAAAAGTGAGGCAGCATTTGATGAGGCTGAATTTGAAATGATAATGTCATGACAGTCTATAGCTGGTGTCTTTGCTAGGAGGCATTTGAGCACCTCTCACAACTTGGCTTTGGCTTACTGGCCCAAGGTTCAGTTAAGGTTATTGTATGAAGTTTGTTCAACTAGATCAACAGTTTAGGTGCCTGCTTAATTTGATTTATTTTAAAACTGGCATTTTTAATCTCACTGCTAGCACAACCAATCAGAAGCTCTGGGCTGCTGAGCTGCAGAAGACTATATCGAGAGATTACAAGTATGTGCTGCTGGCTTCTGAGCAGTTGGTGGGCGTCTGCCTTTTTGTGTTCATCAGGCCCCAGCATGCTCCTTTTATCAGGTCAGTGAACACATGGCTGTGACCAAGTTGGGTCACCCTCGGTCTGCTTTGTATTGCAAGCTAACATACAAGTGTACTAAGAAGCGTATGGGGCTCTAAAAGAGGTATTTGATCTTCTGGGGAACTAGTTGCTTAAATTCTTTTATCCTAGTTTTTAAATGCCTCATCAGTTGCCAGGAAAGCTTGAAAAGCTGAAGTGTTATGTTGTTACCTGCTCACTAGCTGTTGGCATTTTTTAAAAATAGCCCAGTGGCCTTATGATGAAAGAACAATGTGAAAATGTTCTCTTACCAACATAATGTCACACTCAGACATATTTAAAGCTGTTAACTTTTGTACCATTGTATTTGAAGGTTTAATAGTTGTTTAACTCTTTTAGGGATGTTGCTGTTGATACTGTAAAGACTGGCATGGGAGGAGCCACTGGTAATAAAGGTGCAGTAGCAATTCGGATGTTGTTTCATACATCCAGTCTTTGCTTTGTCTGCAGTCATTTTGCTGCAGGGCAATCACAAGTTAAAGAGAGAAACGAAGACTTCATAGAAATAGCTCGCAAGCTCGGTTTTCCAATGGTAAGCAACAGTGTTCAAATTCCATAACAAACGAGAAGTTAAACCCTTTGAGCTCCAGCACTGTCATCCAAAAGCTCTATTTATTTATTTTTTTTCCCCTCCCCAGCTTCCCATGGGAATCAAATTTCCTTGGGTTAGAGGTCTCAGAGATAATGAAGTTCCCACAATTTTTATTAAAATAGATGACTGCAAAAAGAATAGACCTTTCCAGCACAATGACTGACAGAGATGATGAAGCATGAATTCACTTGCATTAGGCATCAAGGATTTAGCATAGGAAAGAGACCTTATAGATTCTTGACATGCAGTAGAACTTTTGTAGGCACTGGAGTTAATCAACTATGAGAAAAAAGCCATGGGAAACAGTGCTATTTTTGATACATAAGAATGATTTTTGCTAACTCATTCTTGTTTGTTCATTGTAAACAATGAGTTTGACTGTACAGTACTGTGCCATATTCTCATAAAGGATTATGGTACAGACATACAAACAGCAAGTAAATACTTAATATTTTTATCAGTGCCACAAAATGCTTCCTTGAGACTTAAAGCTGTCTTAAATTTTGTAGTCGAACTGTCCTTTGTTAATTTCTATGGCGCTGTGCAGGAGTCTGACATCTTGTTTTACAGGGTTTTTGAATTTCTAAATTGGTCCCCATAGTCATGTTTCTTGAAAGTACTGTATTCTGTACAGCTTTTCTTGAAAGTACTATATTGTTATGGTCCCCAGGAAGAATTTCCTAAATGCTGCTATTTTAATCTGCCAGCGTATCTGCTTTGATTTACTTAAGGACAATGGAAAAATCAAAACAAAGAGGGAAGCAGAAGTTCTCACTTTAAACCCTAGGCTTTGTTTAAACTAACAGAGCCCTTCTGTCTCTCCCTAGCCATGAAAATTGTATGTGACTGAAGTCTTCAATTAAATTTGAATAATAAAACCCTAGATTTGCAGTTTGTCAGGATATTGTACCACAAGATCCCAAGGTGGTGTTTTGTTCTCCTTTGTAACCTCTTTGTGACACAGGTAATAGTCGTCATCTTAGAGCAGGCTTCTAAAACAAGAGCAGAAAGATGAAGAATTTTAGAATCCAGTTCAGATGATTCATGTTTCTTTAGAAATGCAAACTACATAGGAAATGTTCCTCCTTCTTTCATATTCTGTATGTGTGAATGCCATACAGTTGGCTATGTTTTTCTAACCATATGAACACTAAATGCTGAGTATTTTCGGTTGTCCTCATCAGCTAGAAATTATGCATATTTTACAGTAAAAAACTGAACTTCGGCACCTGGAAGTAGTAAATTTGTCGCTTGGTTGTTTTTAACTTCATTGTGTGCTTCTGTTTTACAGGGAAGGATGCTCTTTTCCCATGACTATATCTTTTGGTGTGGTGACTTTAATTATCGAATAGATATTCCAAATGAGGAGGTTAAGGACCTAATACGACAACAGAACTGGGATGCTCTTATAGCGGGAGACCAACTTATGAATCAGAAAAATTCTGGACAGGTATCTTAAAAATGTTACCACACTTAAGAATACTTTCTTTTTCTTTTTGGCTATAGCAATTTTCTGTGGTGCTTCTGTAAATCTATATCCTCAGCATGTTTTACTTATCATTTTTGTCCAGGTAGTGTATGGAAGGGTGGGACATAGCAACATTTACTGACTGACTTGTAGTAACTGACCTGAAGAGGCAGGGAGTGAGTTTTTTCTTACTCTCCCCCGCCCCAAAAAAAGGAAATTCTATCATCTTTTTAGAAATTTGTGTTGGAGTTTACTAATTATAATTTTTCTTTTTATCATGTGCAACTATTTTAAAAAATACTTCTAGAAGTTCTTTTGGTAATGTTACTGTTTACTTTAAATTGCTATAGTCATAGGCCTAATGTTGTTACTGTCATTCTGTTGGAAAAAGAAATAGTCCAAACGGTAGCCTTTTTACTTACAAAGAAAAAGATCGTGGAATAACAGTCTGAAGAAAACTTCAGATTTTAGATTTTTAAGGTTTCTTGGGAGGCAGCATGAAGCAATTAAAGGAATATTTGTAATGAATCAAATTTTATGTGAAATTGGGTATTCTTTCTTTCCAGCTTTACATGGGAATGTTGTAGACGGTAAAATTGGAGACAATCCTCAGTTGTTAGTTTTGTCTGCTTGCCAGAACTTTGATCATAAGCAGGGTTTTTTCTGAATTAGAGTTCTCTTCCGTTTGTGCTGGCGTCTTGTGCATCAGAACAGGAGGAAAACCACTTTTTTTTAAAGCCAGTTCCTAGCGAAAGAGAGACATACGTTCCAATGGGCAGACAGCATGATTGTTAACTTGACCAAAACAAGGGAGGTGTAGAGGTCTTGGGGACACTTACAGCAGTTATAAACCTGGAAAGATCTATGGAAACTACCAGAACTTGAAAAAGACTCAAAATAGTCTCCTGGCTGGGGAGAAGAAGAGGTAGTATTGGACTGTTGGGGTAATATTCCATTATTTGGAAGTGGCTGGCTGGGCAGCAGGGGATACCAGCTGGCCCCCGAGGGTAGCTCCACAGTTGTTGCATGTGGCTGTTAACTAGTATATTTGCTGTTCAGAAGAGGTGTTTACATAGCAACTTTCTTTGTAAAAGTAGGTTAAGAAATAATTACGGAAGGCAAATAAATTAATAAATTGTCTCAGAAGTTGTGGATCTTCTGATGGTGGTTTTTAAATTGACAATTTGTTTCCAACAAGAAATGCAGGCTAACCTGTCAATGCAGACGACTATAAGATTTGAATTAGATTTATATTCTACAGATCTCTGATGTGGAGTAGAAGTGCCCATACAAGATTAAACTCAAGGCTGCAGCTGGTTAAGTTAACTAAACGGTTTTAGCTTATGTCTAGTTTAAACACTTGAGGGAGCAAATCTCCAGGCCTTCTAGGGTCTTGTGTCAGCTGGCTGTATCTGTTTGTGTTGCAGAGTACCTGGTGGATTTTTTGATTCCTTTCAATTGACTCTGTGTCTCTAAATACCATACATACACTTGGCGGCTAATTTCACAAAATACCTCTTTTTATTTTGTTCTCCTATTCAATTGAGAAGAAATAGTGATATTATCTCTCTAATCTTTATATTGAATGTATTAAAGGACTCTTTATTTTTCTTCCCCCCACCCATAACTCCTATTTATTGTTGGGCGTCTTGCATCAGTTTGGGGGAATGCTTCGCATGTTCAGATTGGTACATAAAACATAAACCAACTTTTGCTGATGCATGAGCAGCTAATCTACTAATTAAAGTGCTGTGGACAGCATCTTGTTCTGGATGACCTCGAGTTCTGAATGACATTGGAGGAACAGTAGGTTGCTCGTGAGCCTGGGTTTGAAGATACAAGTGTTGACATGCTTCTGTTTAAAGATGATCTGTCTGGGTCACTGTTTAGTCTTGGTGGTAAATGTAGCATGTTTTCAGCAGATAAAATTTGGAGAAGGTTTCATATTATCAAATGACCCCTTTTTTTTTTTCCTCTGAAATGCGTGTACAGGTTTTCACTGTTAGAAAAGAGAATTCTGATTAGTTTCAAGCTGTTTCCCATCTGTTTCTGTCTTCTGGCATGGCACATAACTGCTTTGTTTCTTACAGATTTTTAGGGGATTTTTGGAAGGGAAAATAAATTTTGCTCCTACATACAAATATGATCTGTTTTCTGATGACTATGACACCAGTGAGAAATGTCGCACACCGGCATGGACAGATCGTATTCTTTGGAGAAGAAGAAAATGGCCTTTTGACCGATCAGGTTTGAGTGCTTCCTTAAATTGTTTACAATATTCTTTTAACTGGCTTGTAGAATCCATTTAGTGATGTTCACGGTGGTTCTGAGCTTCTATCCCTAACCCTGTGTGAGACAGAAAGCTTTTAATAGCATCTGCAATAAATACACTGACCAGGAGGATCAGGAATCAGATACCAGTTACTGGTATTTCAGTAGTTCCAAAGGAACTTCTGTTTTTTTCTGTAAAACACTTGGTTCTGGTTTACTTTCTTTTCTTTTTTTACAAATAGCTCATTTTTTAAAGCCTATGCTTGCAATCATTGTGTTTTCCCCCTTTTTTTTTTTTCATTAATGCTGAGTGTAGCTGATGACCTGGATCTTCTGAATGCAAGTTTTCACGATGACAGTAATGTCCCTTATACATGGAATCCTGGTACTCTGTTGCACTATGGAAGAGCAGAGCTGAAAACGTCTGATCATAGGTTTCAGTTTTATTTTATACATGACTTCCTAATCATTGATTATTTAATATTCGTGTTATATATTTTATTGCTCAGATACTCTACTTACAGGTTTTTCTCGTGTATTTTTTTCCAAGACCTGTGGTTGCATTGGTTGACATTGACATATTTGAAATTGAAGCGGAAGAGAGACAAAAAGTTTATAAGGAGGTGATCGCAATGCAAGGACCACCTGATGGTACTGTAATGGTCTCCATCAGAAGTTCTTCAGCAGAAGAAAACTATTTTGATGATAACTTGATTGATGATCTTCTTCAAAAATTTGCAAGCTATGGTGAAGTTATACTTATAAGGTTAAAAAGAGTTTTTACTTTTAATCTCTATTCTTCTTCATTGTTCCCACTTATTTCCTGAATAAAGTTACTTTCTTAACGGGCATTTCAGTTATGATCTGCTTCATTGTTAACATTTAGATTTCAACTTCAATGTCTTTACAGTTGAAAATTAATTTTACGCACCTGTATGTGTCTCAGTTTTCAGACTTAATGTTTCCAGATACTCTTTATTTTTGAGATAGAGTATCGTACTGAGTTTGTCAGAAATTAGAGTTAAAATTTGTTATTTATATAATTTTATACAAATTTTGTATTTACAATTAGGTTAGTAGCTTTAAATGAACTGAAGATGAGATGATCCATGTGAATGTTGAGGCTTCACTAAGCTGTTAATTGAACTGTATGTGTTGTGGTATTTCGTTTGGGTTTTTTGGGGTGTTGTTTTGTTTTGTTTTTCAGAAGACTAGGAGCAAAGTTCCATGTCCGTAGTGTTATGTAATGTGGAACACCTAATACAAATACCTAACCTGTAGCCACACAATTACTATTAAACGTGTAACTGTAGTCACATAATTTTTAAGAGGATAGTGCTTTTGCTGTGTGATATTTACCTGGTTCTCTTCTGCCTTTTTTTTTTGTTGCAAGGATACATTCAGTTAAAGGTTATTAGCCAATTATATTTTTTAATGAGCTTAAATAATTCTTCTCCATCAAGTGAAACATTGAAAAACCCTTCAAGATAAGAGGCTTCAAAAGTTAGTAAGTAGGATAAAGTATTTTAATTACTGTTTCCAATGGACTTTGCAGGTTTGTGGAAGACAAGATGTGGGTAACATTTTTGGAAGGAAGCTCTGCTTTGAATGTTATGAATTTGAATGGTACTGAGGTAATGTAAAACTTACTGAACTTTTGTATAGCAAAAAGAAAATCCAACTTTTTAAAGAATACTGGGGTGGGTTGGGTTTTTTGTTTGTTTGTTTTTAATTCTTAAAAGTTTTTCATGTTCCATACTAGACTGTTGCATCTAATATTTTTGGGTTTGATAGCCAAATAGCATTATGTTGAGTTTCAAAAGCCAGCTGAGAGAAGTACCAAACTTAATTTATTTTTAGGAGGAGGACTGTTAGAGAGATGAAGACCCAATATTGAAGGGCATCTTCATCAAATGAGGGATTTTTAATTGTTTGGGTTTTTTAATGATTTAAAAAGAAGAGTTTTTACCTTGACTTTGTAGTATGAACTGGTTTATCACATTTATAGCCTGCAATTGTTTAAAACTCCTGTACTGCAGTCACTTAATATCAAAACTTCAACTGTCATTGACTTCTGTAGGGCCAATATTTAATCTTTGTAAAAATTTTAATTTTCGTGTTCAAATTTTTACTGATTTACATTCCTGTTAAGACTTAGATTCTGTAACATGATGTTTGCAGATGGATCCTTTCGTCTGCCAAGAGTTTCACTGACGATCAGTCCATGTAGGATAGGGGCTCAGTGTCATGTGTCAGTTTGCAGAATGAAGGCCTGATGTTTTATCAGTCTCTAAAAATTACCTCATTAATGTAGTTTATGAGCAGGTTTGTTTTTCTTTACACAGACTGGTGTTTCTGTCAGAATAAAGAAACCAGAAGCTTTCCTATTAACTGAAAAGGAAAATCTTATGAGACAAGTTATTAGTTTTTCTTTAGAAAAACAGTTGTAATTAACAGTTTAAACTACATAAAAGTACTTAATTACCAAACTGAAGTGAAAAGCATAATTATTTTCATGTCATGTCACTGTTATTTTTTAGTCCCAGAAATTCTGATGATCTTATTTGTGATATTTTAAGTAGTTGGGGTTTTTTTTTCTTTTTAAATCTGGAATGCTGAATTTCAGTGTTCCTGCTCTTAACAATTTCTGTTTTGTGCATACTTTTTTGGCAATTCAGCTACTAGGAAGGATTATAAACATAAGCTTGAAAAATCCAGATTGGATCAGAACTTTGGAAGATGAAATGAACCTAGAGAAGATTAATATTGGGCTGCCTTCATCGACAAGTTCCACTTTGCTTTGTGAAGATGCTGAGGTTACTGCAGACTATGATATGGAAGGTTTGTGAAATAAAGTACTCCTCGTTTTGAAATGCTTACAGTTCTAAATAATGTGGTTGATTTAATGCATGTATCAGTACTTTAATTTAGCAAGTTTATGCCCATCTAAAACAGGTAAATTAGAAATCCCATTATTTTCAAGTGTCACGACAACTTGTCGAGCAGTGTCAGTTTGCACTGTATCTCTAGGTTTTACTGATTTGCTGACATTCTCTTTATTCATTCAGGCAACTTTACTGTTACCTGTATATAAGCAGGATATACACAATTTCAGAGTGCAAACCAATTATTATTTTGCCAATGCCCATAATAGATTAATAGGACTAATGAGCACCCATGCTAAGCATTGATGTGCTTACCAGCCCCATAAAGACACCTGGTGAGCTGTTGACAGGCAGGCAAATATGAGTTGGGCAAGGAGACCTTCAGCCTCTGCTGCTTTTTGGAACAGGCTGATGTTCAGCATTGATGAGTTGCTGTTTTCCGGTTCACTGTTTCTTATCGGTTTTGTTTTTTCCCTGAAGGTTGTTTTATCTTTTCATGTCATACTTTTCTAGTGGAATCCTCAAGTTGCTGGGTATCACTGTTGGAGTGATTGTGCTTCTACATTTTCTTTACTTGCATGTTACTAATCTATGTACTTTATCACAGCTTATTAATTTTTATGAAAGGTCTGCTTCACTCATTTCTCTACATAAAAATGTATTCTTCTTATATCCTTAGCAAGTAAAAGAGCTGGTTTTTTGAACAGCACCAAAAAACCCCAAACCCACACCTTACCTGCTGACACTTCTTGTATATATTGCATTTCCATATGTATTTTACAGAGTCATTTCTTTGTCATTTCTTGAACAGATGTACTTTCTAGATGTAGTCACTGTGTCTATATTGATCTGTTTGAGTAGCTCATTTGCTTTGAATTTTTATCAAGGCTCCTTAGTAGCAAATATTATGTTGCAAAGGTTTCAAGAAAAGAGATGACATCTATATATACTGGAAAGAGGGGACTGAGGCTTTTTGTATAGGTATTTCATAAAGGAAGATATGTTTTGGTAAGGGTACAGATATGAGAAACCTGTATGAAAACTTGGAATTTGCATTAGTCTCGGTGTCATAAGATGCTGTTTTCCAATGCAGGTAGGAAACAGGACTTTAAATGTCTTTAAAATGTGACATCTCGAAGCCCACAAGACTCTTAAGTCAAGAGCTAGTATCTGATTAGCAGCCTGGTTACTCTGTTAGTGCTGAACAGTGCAGAGTTGAAGCTGGAACTTCTGTAGAACACTGTGTGTCCTTGGTGTATCTGAAGAGAGGGAAGCCTAGAAGTTACAGAAGAAAGGATTACTATGGTCTTTTATTGGAGTGTGATGGGATAATTGTCTATGTTAGGCATTTTGAATACCAACACAAAAATATTCTAAATTGTCAGTTTACTTTTCAAAGGCATGTCCATGTTGAACCTTTTTTTGAAATATCATTACACCTTTTCAAACAAGGTATTACAAATAGCAGGTATCTTGAAATCCCCTGCCCAGCCTTCTGAAGAATAAATTAATCTTGCCATCTATTGCAAACCAGGGAAATAATTTTTGCAAAGGTCTTCCTTGTACAGCTAATTGTTTCTTTGATTAAGCAACGTTACAGTTGCCATGATATTTTAATTGCCTATAATATATATCTATAATATATATGGTGCATTTGGAGCATTTTCAACTTGAAATACATACGCATGCTTCATATGTAATTTTGCAAGAATCATATGTTGGTTGTTGAGCAAATTCCTTGGAACTTGAGGGCTTTTTGCAGAAAATCCTATACCTGGAATCAGTTTATAATTTCCCCACTCTTTAAAATAAATAACTATTGTTCCTTTTATTTTACATACTTTTTCTTTTTTTGGGGTGGGGTTTGTTATTTAGGAGACATAGATGACTATAGTGCTGAAGTAGAAGAAATCCTTCCTCAGCACCTACAGCCAACTTCAAGCTCTGGTCTTGGAACCTCCCCCAGCTCTTCACCGCGTTCCAGTCCCTGTCAATCCCCTACGCTGTCAGATGGACCTACGCTCCCAGTGAGACCGAGCCGAGCACCAACAAAAACTCCTGGACCACCTGTTTCCACACACAGTGTGTATTACATCGCTTGACTGCCTCTATTGCTGTTATACAATCTGGAAGCTGTATGGCCCTGTGGTAGAATACTAGCTTATAGTTTATCTTAATAGAGCTTTCAGATTAATATAAAAGGCTATTCTTGTCATTATTTAGCATTTTATGCGTAAAATGCCTTGGGCAAATCACCTCGTTCTTTGTGCCTCAATTTTCCTAATGGGCAATGGAAGAGCTTTGTTTCCAAAGTCTGTCTTAGTACACTGTCCACTGATCTACCCTACTGCAAACTAACTTGCTTTAGTTCTTCAGCATTTCATCTTGAAAGAGACATCTCAAAAAGTTATGTGATTAACAAGCTTTCTAAGTTCATTAGCTTGAAACCTCTGTTCAAAAATTCTGTTGAATGTGTCAGTATAATCCTAGTTCACTTTACTCATGCTCTTCAAATACAGCCCATTTCAATTTATGCTCCTGTCAGCTGTAATATGTACATTGTAATCAGCTGATTTGTAAATTGGGCATATAATATAAAGCTTATGTTTAAACACAACTTTATTTTGGTGACAAAGTGGACATACAGAATTAGTGTTTGGAATGGCTTCTAGAACAGTTTATTTCAATGTAATTTGGAGTAACTTTGCAAAGATTGCTGAAATGCCTTCAGAATTCCTCTTGTAACATTTTTTTCCAGCCTTAGTTCACAAATAAGGGTGAAAATAAAAATCTGGAACTCTGCAATTTGTAAGAATGTTCAAGATTCCATGAAAAGCATATACTAATTAAAGCATATGAGACAAAAATCTTGGTTTAGGAAATCTGCTTCTTTTCACTATTGGTTTATTCCTCTTGTTTTCCCTCTCTCAAAAACTTCTCTGTCATTGTTTTCAGGGCTGGGAATTGGCTGTCTTCTTCGTGACAATAACTTGCTATTAGAAAAGCTTTACTGTGATTAGAATGTATACAAGTGATGAATTTTTGTGTTGTTTTCTGTCATGTTCTTCAGCTGAATTTCAGCTTGGTACTCAGCAGAAAGAGTCTCCTCAGAGCTTGGAGCCTAAGCGTCCTCCACCACCTCGCCCTGTTGCTCCTCCTGCACGTCCCGCTCCGCCGCAGAGGCCGCCTCCGCCGTCAGGTAATGCGGTGACGTATATCAGGTGGTCAGGAGTATTTTGTTTCAAGTCTGTGAGATGTAACTTTGAAGTCTACACCCAAACTATGTATTGTATTGTATTGTTGGTTTGAGGCTCAATGGGACATATAATTTTTTCACTAAAGTGTTTAGTTCAGTACTGTTTGAATATTATTGTCTCTGCTTAGTGAATAAGTTTTAAAAATTTTATAAGCTTATTTTCACAGTTTAAAAATGTAGGCTTCCTACAGCAGTGTTTACTCAACATTTTCATTTTTATAGCATCTTCATTTTTAAAAGAAAAGATAAATAATCTTGTGCATTCATTGTTTTATGTTCCTTTCATTTTGCCATCAGTATGTATGCATTTTGTCCTGTCCAAGTTTTTAATGTAGAGTTCATCTGGACCATCTGAAAGTGTAAACAATTGAGCACTAAGAGAAACTGGATGTTCAGAAGCATATGGGCAATATAGTTAATAACAAACTGACCCTTGTCATTTTTAACTTTCTCATTCTTTTTCTTCCCTCTTACTGTACTGATACTTTTCATTATTGCTGCATTCATTTCTTAAATACTGTAAGGCGGTAGGAGTCCTGCACCTGCTAGAAAAGAATTTGGAGGTAATGATTTTAATTGTTTTCAAATATGACTACGTAGCAAAACTACTGTGGTGGTCTGTTGTGACAATACTTAATACGATGATGTCCAAAGGTAGTTCTTAAATGTCAGCGTAATTTCTTTCTCAGGGTTTGTATCCCGCTCTGAATTACATTTGACTTTTTAGTGAAAAAATACTTCTCCAGAAGTTGGTAAATTATAGTCAAAGGGATTAAAGTCGTTCCAGGTTTTTATTACTTTGTCCTGGTCAAAATATACCCAGCTAGCGTTTCTGTGAAAGCAGAAACCTGTCTTCAGTTGTGAAAAGGCTAGCTTTTTTCCTCACAGTCCATGAGAAGGAGCATTGTAAAATGGACTGTGCTTGTAGCTACTTGCAGTGATTATCCAATAATTAATTGTTCAAGTTGAAACTACTGCTGGTCTGGCCCAGTTTCCCCTGGATGATCACCAGTTAACACAGAGCTCCAAGTCACTGAGCTATATTTGTCTCTAAGCTGAACGCGGACATACAGGTAGTTTATTTTCTGTTTCCAAGTCTGAAATGTGCTCCTAAGCCCCTCCTAGAGACGTGAAACATCCTCAATGGTTCTTGGAACTAGTGTGCACTTCAGAAACACCAACTTAGCAAAGGAATTTATGCAGTTACTTTGAAGGCACTGGAGAGCTACAGGTCTTTACAAACTAACAAAATCCTGAAATAATTCCTCTCCTAATTCCTTCCCTTTTGATAAAGCTGAGGGCCTTGTCAACCCTTCAGGCTAGTTTTGTTTTCTTCCAGCTTGATCTGGTTTTGCATGTAGTAACAATTCGTGTTCTCAGAAGTGCTGCTTCTTGAAACTAATCTTTGTCGTCCTTTGTCACGAGCTTCATAGTTGAGCTGTCCTGCTTGGACTTAAATCAGCTCATTAATACATGGGATAGAGTGAGAATAGTTAGTGGCTCTGAAGTGCTTTCTTAATGGCTTTTCAGAGACAGCCACTCAGTTGGTAGGAAAGAGGTTTTTTTGAGAGAATAACTCAAAAGTTCTGAGCAATCTCAGAAAGTGAACTATTTTATATCGTACATAAATATCAGCTAAACTTATTCTGATGTCAGGTGGACATGTGCATGGCTCTTAGATACAGTTGAGGGAAGGAGATTATTATGCCAAAGGCATAATATTTCAAATTAGTTAAAATTCTTCAGTTTTAGAGAACAGCCAGTTCATACATAACACGCAACATATGTGAGATTTAATTCATTGTACTACTTCAGTCCTATACAGTTTTATACACACTGACACAATCCTATTTGCCTAGTTTTTCTCAGTTGTGCAAAGACTAGCCGCCTTTTTTTACCCTCTTTCCCAACATGGTTTTCCATAAAGAATTGTAACTTGCATAAAACTTACTTTTTATGCAATCTTTTAAAAGAGACTTTAGTATATTTTTTTTCATATCTTATTCTGACCTAAAGCTCATCCCAGTTTTTCTGTCCTCTTCATTTTCCACTCATGGCACACATTTATAAGGCATAAGGCTTTGCTTTTTGGTGGTACCTGAGCTCAGCTCTGAGCAAGCTAGCACAGGACTGGAAGCAATATAAATGACATAGTGTGTTACTATGCTTGGGGAAATGGCATCCGTTTCTCTTACCTAGAATGAAGGCTTCTAAAGCACTGTGAAACTATCCCTGTGTACTATATAAGTGTATCGAAATTTGGTTTTAGACTTCTGTAGCACATGCAAAGTGACATTGTTCATGTCTTTAAAATGTTGTTAATTTTAAATGTTACTTTTTTTTTTTTGCTTATGTGTTTTAACCTTTTTTTCTGAGTGCTTCACTCCCTTCAATGCCCATAACGTTTTTCTAGTGGTTCAGTATGCTTTTAAGATGGGAGCAGGATTTGGGCATCTAAGTTGGGGTTGTGGGTTGTTTTTTTTTTTAAGAGTTTGGTCGTATTTTACATCAGAAGTAACTCAGAATTCAAGGAAACAAGGTTATGTACTCATTGCAGGGGTTTGCAAAGGGTAGGCTTTTTGCCTGCTAATACAAAAGATTTCCACTAAGGATTTTATAAGCTCTCAGTTGTTTGTAGTTAAAAATTAAAATGTTGCACTCTGTTTACCCAAGATTTTTTTAAGACATTACAGATTAAATTCTTACAGAACATTAAAAAAGATAAAGGCTGCTAATTTTAAATTACTTGAAGTTAAAAAATAACATTTGGTTTGTTTTTTTTTCTTTTAATAATATTGGTCAGACTTTTCCTGATTAATGCAGGAAAGGCTTATAATTGTCTTTCATCATTGGTTTAAACTGTTAAAATGGGGTTAAGATTGAGAGAATGCACAGTATTTTCAGTATATGAAATAATTCAGGCAAAATGCATTACATTTTCACTGTGATTATCCTCCAAAGACATAAAATAAACCCAGAAAATACAGTAATAAAGTTGACATTAAAAGAAACACAAGTATGTTAAACTATGAAAATACATGCACCCAAGCAGCAAGTACGTATAAGTGTGCACTGATATTTATAGTCACACATTAAACTTAGCCTTGCAAGAACCTTTCAAGGTCTTTATTTTTCCTCTGTAGTTCTTGGGGTGGTTTTTTTTTTTGGCAGAGCAAAGTTCAGGTTGTTTGGGTGGATTAGGATATGACAGTAATTTTGAAAAAGCTTTTTTTGTTGGTTGGTTTGGTTTTTTAATATGAGGAAGAGCACCTTCTTTTCTTGCTGAAGAAGGAATGTTCAGTAATGGAGGAAACAAGAAGCTTTAATGCTGAAACAGTAAATCCATTGTTCAAATGTAGGCAAATGGCCTAGATTTCATGCATGTATGTGTATATATATATACACACACATGTGCACATGTGTACATATATGCACATTTTGCTTTATGAGAAGTTGGAGTTGCTTTTATTTTCCATTAAGCTATTGTGTAAATGTAATCTTTGCAAAACCTGCAGTTCTGTCTAAAAGCTGTCAGGGCATAAGTTACTGGTTGTTTCTCTATAAATCCAACCCCTTTCCTTAAAATACTATTTAAAACAGGTATGTGATACCTTTACTTGCGAAATACTGTTTCAAACTGCAATAGGGATTTCAAGCTATATACAGTAACAATTTAAAATTATACCCAAAAATGTGTTTCAGGTTCAGGTGTACATTTTTCATTGTCCTTAAGATTAAAATCTTCCTATAGCGCCACTTCATGTAGCATTATCACAGCACCATAATTTGGCTTTATTGCTGTTGAAGAGTATTATTAGTAAGTGAAATTTGGGATATTTGACCTTTATGCCCTTTCTCTACCTTATAATGAATATTTTTAAATTTGCAAAACTTTTTGAAATCCTCATGCACAGAAGTCTTCCTCTATATGGTGCCCCAACATAGGAACATGTCTGTATGTGCTATGGTCAAAGAGGTTCTCTGCCTGCCTTCTCCTGAAAGGAGTTGACTTGATTGATCATCTTGCACACAACAAGATTTGCTTGACAAGAACATCCTGAAAATACCTATTCAAAGTATGGGCCAAGTTGAGCTTTGGGAGGGGAAAGTGCATAAGATCTGTGAAATGAACAGGCTAGTTCCCTGCTCTTGGAGAGGTTTTATTGTGTCTATTTGCATTAATTCTCCAGTTAGCTTTAGGTCTCTGTAAGCACAGAGGGTTCAGAGGAGTGTCCTATACTCTACTGGGCTGCTCTCCACCTCCCTTTATTTTGCTGCAGTTAGCAGGTAGGCTTCTCGTAGCCTATGGGTTACTGCTTTCTCTTCTCCCCCAGGGTTGCTCTGGGTTGCATGGGAGCAGGGCAGAGTGTAGTACCTGAAAGCAATGAAATGTTCTCAGGCAGTGCTCTCCTCCTGTGCCCCCTCCTTTCAAACGCTCTCTGTTCATCCCTCCTCAGCGCTGCTTCCCTCGCAGAGAGGTTCACTGTCAGAAACTTTTGCGATGGAAATCTAATGTTAATTGGCAGAGCCTGGAACTCACCCAGAATATATAACATATGCTAGTATTTAACATCTTTGAACCAGATGTTCAGCAAAACCAGAGACATCTCTGGAGATAATCACGTACCAGCCTCATCTGCAACCTTCACTCTTCCTACTCTGAGTGACACCTCCACCCATATCTGACAAAATTCACAGCACTCTTTACAGATCATAGAGAGCTCCTGAGCAGATACCACACATTGGCACATGATGAGAAAGCATGAGGCTGTGTCATCGCTAAGGCAAAAGTTGCTTTTAAGGTAGGCTTCTTGAACACTGGCTCCCTTTCCTTCCTCTAAACTTGAGCCACTCCAGAGTTGCCAGATACTACTTTCCTATGCGCATGCCTTAAGGATTTCTCCTTGCATACTGTCTAGTGTAATCTATGTCCTACCATGTTTTTACCATACAATTTTATGGACCCAGTATATGTTTGATCATATTGCAGAAATAAGATAATTCAGCATGGTTGTGCATGATTGAAAATCTTTCTCTCAATCTGAACTGTAACATCTACTGCTCACCAGTTGATACGGCTTTCCCAAGTACAGAGTGCTGCTTGAAGATAATTTAATGATACGATTCTGTAGGATACAATACATAAGTGGGAAGCTTATTTCTTCCAGAAAATTGCTTATTCAAATGTAGTCTTGGCAGAAACTTAGTACATTGTATTCTAAATTACAGGAAGCAGACTTAAATGTTGCAGGGTATAACTGATGTACCTGTTTACCTTCAAGTGTTTGAGTATAGATGTGTGCTCTGCTTTAGGAGAGTTTCAAGACTGACATTTAATATCATTCTGAATTTACAAAAGTTTGTGGAGAGTGAATACTGAAGAAATTAAATTCTTTCAACTATGATGTAAAATTGAAATAATAGCATGTTTCTAAACATGATCGTATTTGCTGATCTCTTAATTCGTATCAGTCTGGTTTCCCCATGCTGCTACAAACAGCTGTCTCCTACAAGTGACTACAATCTAGTTAGGTCATTTTTAAATTATGTAAAGCTGTCTTGTGGCAGTGTTCTTTCTGGTTTTACTTTCTCAATCTACTGCTTTTCTTATGCAATGTACAGCTTCTCTTCTTTCTCTGAAAAGGTCTTGGAGCTCCTCCCAGTCCTGGGGTAGCTAGGAGAGAAGTAGAAGGTAACATAACAATTTTTGTATTCTAGAAATGGATTTCTAATTTAATACCTGAGTAATATTATTGTTCTTGTGATACTAAAGGTGATTTCATGAAGGTATTTATTGTGTAGGATCTGTCTTCTTTTTTTAACATAGTTTTCAGACACCCAAGTTGCTTCCCATTTTTCAGCGATGGTGTGAATTGTTATAGAAGGCAGTCTCAATTTTGAAAAATGAAGTGAAAACTTAGACTGCACTAATCAAGAAGAACACTTTCAAGGCTGACTCTGAGGAAGCTGTAGCTGACTGGTTGCTAGAGTAAATACTATACCTATAACTAGATCAGGAATCTAGGAAGCCTAATGTTTCATAAAGGACTACATATGTTCATATATTTTGGGGAGAGGAACTTCCATTTAAATTATTTAACGTCTAACTTAATATTCTGTCTCTTTCTAAAGAGCACAGTGTAGCTGTTTTGATTCTGATACCTAAATGTATGACATACATTTATGAGAAACTTTTCGCTTGCATTATTCTAGTCGGACTATGTGCGTATAGTGCTGATTGGGTCCTGTTTTAGCCATGTCAGCAGAATCACGGTTTTGGGTTTCTTCCTATCCACTCAGGAATGTGTTGCTTTGTAGCAAATATAGGTATGGCAATAAAAGTCCTATTATAGTCACAGTCAAGATCTCCTCCTGTATACAAGAATTAATTTTGGCTAGATTGCTGTTTCATTTTTCTAAATGGGCAAAATCACGATATGCATAGAACAGTTCAGATCGGAAGGGACCTCTGGTGGTTATTTAGTCCAACCTCCTGCTCAAAGTAGGGTAAACTGGCACCAGGTTGCACAGGGTACAAGTCGCATTACTGAGAACTGTACCCAGAAACCCATTCTAACTGGTTCTAAGAAAGCAGGATTGTCTGACAACTGGAAGCCGATTTGATAAACAAAGTGTCTTATGTACCACAGAGTATTCCTTCCAGTTACAGTAACTGACATGGTGATTTTACCTTCCTGGGAAATAGGCAAGCCAGAAACACAAGCCAGAATCCTAAACTTCTTTGCCTGTTAGAAATTGTGCACTTGTCTGAGGTAAAGGTAATTTTTTCCTATCTTGCGCTTCACAACTTGAATGTTGCATACAAGGTTGTCATTAGCATCAGCATGTAAATGTTGAGGTTGGTGCTGTAATATATTTATCCCATAAACAGAGAGAGTAGGTTCAGGAACTTTGATATAGACCCTGTAGATTGCTGAGCCATGTATAATTACAGATGTACTCTTCTGATCGCATGATTTTTTTTGAATCAGCATGTTACATCAGTTCTTTTTGTTTTAAGACTGCTGTTAGAATATTTGCAGAGTATACTACAAAAGAAAAGAAATTTTAGCACGATTGAGAAAGCAGGGTACCTGTACAAGTGGGTGCGTCTAGCTTGCAACAAATAGGAGGTGATTTGACTTAATTTGTAATTAGAAGGGTCAAATTACTTCGTGTGCCATGGGATAAGGGTGTGCTAGGGTAACAGCTTAGCTGATGGCTAGACTTTAATATGTAACAACTTTTAAAAAAATCACTAATGTCTTTTTGCTCCCATTTCCATTAGTGATAATGTACCATTGCCATATAATACCCGCTTGTAGCTTAACTAACAAAGATGATCTAATTTTTCTTCCCATGCTTCAAAGCCCAAAAAAGTCCTGGGACACAAAGGAAAGATAACTTAGGTAATACAGATACATGCTTTGTACTAATTATAATACAGAAAGAAGTTGATTTTGAAATATGTTCTTAGTCAGCAATCTCTAATATCTGTTCCAGTTCGTAATCAGCCTCCACCTTCAACTGGAATTTCAAGCGCAGGAACTGCTGGATATGGTACAACCAGACCGGTAGGTATTCTGTCTTAAAATAATTTTCCTCCTAAGTTTCTACAGCTGGTGGTGGGTTTTTGTAAGTCGTAACAGATGTAAGAAAACGTCAAAATTGACTGGTCATTTTGCAGCTTATATGAGTTAATTCCCTCAGCAATTCTTGCCTGTTGACTAAAAATACTCCAGAATACATATACTGGACATGACTTTATTGTTTTTCACTGTGTGCAGTCACTTCATAGGCTCCCAAATACTACCACATTTTATGTCTGCTTCCAAATAACTGCAAAGTGCAAAGTTGCTCTTTGTATTACATGTTCCTGTTGACTACGTTGCTGATTTGGTATGATAAAATGTATTATCTTCTGTGCTGAAATGTATATCCTGATGGCAGTTAATTGCTTGCAGGCAGTTAATGTATTATATAGGCAGTTGATGTATTATATTGCTGATTACTCAATGGAATTTTATACCTTGTTTTAAAAATTAATTTTGATAAAGGTCTTCGTGTAAAAATGAAATATTCAACTATTTCAGCAAAAAAATCAACAAACATTAGTTTTGCATTTCATTCTTTTATTTGTGGAACTGAACTGCAGGAAGTGAATGAAGGATTTATGGATGCTTGAATGCTTCACTACCAGCAAGAAATCAATAGATGGAAGACATCTGCCTTATTTCTTTGAGCAGCAGCAAGTTAGGAGCCTTGTGTTAGGAAGGAGAAAGTGTTTTAATAGCTATAGGTCTTCTTAAAGAATTGCTAAGAAATAGTAATGTTTGTTGATAATTCTTTAGACTCTGCAGCGTGTTTCAAGGAGAAATTTTGCAGCAGCATCAAGGACTTTTCTTTTTTTATCTACATCAACCACAGTACTTGTGCTTACTTTGTTCCCTCTGTTGTGGCAGTTCCAGGCTCTTTGACTTGGATCGTACCTCTTTATACCTGGACATTTTATAGACTAAAAAGCAGGAAAAGTTGGCTCTTTCTTATCAGTTTCTTGGTCATTATGAACTTTGTTTTTCTTCCTTAAGGCATTTTGCTCTTCTCATTGGGATAATGTTCACAATGACACTGACAAGATGGAGAGCACACATACGACTCTTTAGTAAGGCTAAAAAGCATTCTGCTTGCATAAATGTCAGCAGGATAGATACTGATGAGGTTTTTGACTTATCTACAAATATGACACCTCTTCTTTAATTCCATGTCTTTCTTTCAAGTGATAGACCAGTTGAGAATGAGAAAAAGAGTAACTGTGAAGAAGCCATTTAAGATGCAGCTAACCACAAGAGTTTAAGTTAAATCCATATAAATTTGTTTTATAAAAGGTCGTAGAGTCCTTTTCCACCTTTTAAATGAGCAAGAAGCAAAAGAACTCTGCCAGCTGTGCAGACATATCAGAGTTCTTGTAGAGTTTAAAGCAGTTGTATCTGACTATTGCCATTTCTGTTGTACTGTTGTACCGTATTGAAACCACTGAAAACTACTGTTGAAAGCTACCATTGAAATCACTTTTTGCTAATTCATGTTTGTCAAAGAGATTGATTCTCACAGTGAACAGTTCTTGATCTTCGCACTTTTTTGTTATTGTCCCAGAAATGTAAAACAGTGTCTTCTAAAATTTGGATAAAGAAAACCTGGTATGCATAGGAAAGAATGTATTCATTTATCACCATGTGCCTCACTTTTTTTTTTTTTTTTTTGAATCTGGAGCCAGCACAGGATTTGCCATTTCTAAATCAAAATAATTCAATTTAAAAAATCTGATGTACAGAAGAGACTCCACCAGTATCTTGGAACTGACATAAGTGCAAGGATTTTTGTTCCTGTTATCAAGACAGAAAAAAAAAGTAGTACTGTTCTCTTGTGCTGTGCTTCTCGACACCCAGGCTGGCGTACGGTTAGAGCTGCTTGCCAGTTTCTAGAAAGAGCCACGGCGCTGCAATTGCCAGCATAATTTGATAAGACAAAGCTGACTGCATCTCTTCCTTTGCAGACTTTGAGATTTTCTTTAAAAAAACCCAAAACAACCGAACAACAAAACAAAACCCAAGCAAACCAAACCAACCAACCAAAAAAAAAACCCCAACAAACCAACGAAACCAATGCAATAGAAGGTCTGCAAAACCATCTCCGAAGATCTGCTTGGCTTTTCAAGCCTTAGCCCAGCCCTTTTTTAGGATCTCCTGACTGACGTTGCTGCTTTCCTTGTCTCAGGTTGGGCTTTGGGCAGGAGTTCAGGTCGAGGATTTCAGGACCAGGGACAGTCGCCACGGCGGGTGCTGCTTCCCACTGCGTGGTCCTGAGGATTAGTGTAGCCTTCCTTTCTGTTTCTGCTCTGCTCCTTTCTGACGTGTCTTTTTTTTGGGGGGGGGGGGGGGGGGGGGAATGTTAATGTATTTTGGCATTTAATCCGATCATCCTTCTGCCCACTTTCAGAATATTGAAAGGAGTAACTGAATGCGTCTTCGCAATTAAAGGGATGGCAGGTATTTCAGAGGTTAGGTGCTTTAAAGCATTTAGAAAGGTGTTAAATGGACTCAACCAAGCATAAGGTTGCGCAGTCAGATGTTATACAAAGTCTTCAAAGTACAGCACATATATCTAGTAAAAGTAAGATCAAGGATGATTCTTGTTTTGTAGTGAAGTTTCTTTGCTTGTTTTTAAATCATGTTTGTGTAGAGAGTTGTGTAATAGAGTTTGCTCTGAAAACCATTTCTAGAACATACACTGTTACTAAGATTTTGACAGGATATACTGAGTACACAAAATTTTAGAGGAAACAAATCTTACAAACTATCTTGCCTTATGATTCTTTTATTTTCCCTGAAATGTTGCAATTTTATTCTAGTGCTTTACTTTCAGCTTTCAGGTGTGTAATTCACTCAGCTTCAGTTGTAATCTGGAATAGTTTCCTGTTTCTCTTTAAATACTGATGTAGACTTTGACATTTTGTTTTGTGAGAGAAATTTTGTTCCCAGCATATTAACTTCTATTCCAACAAGTCTGGGAAGACTCCAGCCTTCAGATAAGGCAGAACGTGTGTTTCATTAATACCGTTTGCTGAGGAACAGCAATAACTGCCTTACAGTTAGCAAACATAAGTTTCAGAGAAAAGAACTAACCATGGTCTTGTATGCATATCTTGGACTTTCACTATATAAAATTGAGTGTAGCTGCTGTTTGCAAATGGCAGGCTATAATTATAGCCAAAAAGGTAGATGGTGTCTACAGTCTGCGTTGATGCTGGGTTATCAATGTGTCCTTACGAGATTTCCAAATTAAGTAGTTGCTGTTGTTGGTTTTGTTGCTTACAACAATTCACAGACTTAGGTAAAATTAACTTATTAATACTAACAAAATAAAAGGCGTCTCTAACATTGTTGCACAGGTAAATATTTATATCAAGTTGAAGACTGATGTAAAAATCCTTTGCTTTGAATGGAATCCTCATGATGTTTTGGGAATATATTCTTTGCTTTTATACGTGCATAAAAATTAGTCAGCAACTGTTATCAAGTAATTTGTTTTTCACAGAGTCCTAATCATCCTGAATCATTTAGCAGTAGATGACTACAGATCCAAAGTAGAACTAAAATACTGTCTTTTTACCAATTATTATGTCAGACTGTTCCACCTCGAGCTGGAGTTATTAGTGCACCACAAAGCCATGTCCGTCCCTCTGGGGGAAGACCAGCACCTGAAACTCAGACCAAACCAGCTGAACCACCGAGGGGTAAGTTTACTTTAGAAGTTGAATACAAATGTCACTATTCAGTCAAGTCTCTAGTTTGAATGCTTTGTTTTCAACAGATGTCTTTGGTTTTCACTAGAAATGGATATTCTCAAATGTAGTAACATTTGGCAGTTTCTGTTAATCATCCACAAGTATTGTAAGATATTACACAGCAGTCAGATGAGATCTAGACCCATAGATTTCAGGCTATCAAGAGAAACTTTGATCATAGAATCACAGAATGTATTGGGTTGGAAGAGACCTCTAAAGGCCATCTAGTCCGACCCCTCTACAGTAAGCAGGGACATCTCTAACTAGGTCAGGTTGCTCAGAGCCCCATCAAGCCTGACCTTGAATGTCTCCAGGGGTGGGGCTTCCACCTGTGTTTCGGTCTGAGCACATTGGTGTGTCCTACCGTGTGTATTGATCACTGGACCATTCTCTGCACCGGTTGCTCTGTAATCATAATGTTTGGAATAGTATTTATGTTTGACTCTCAAAGCCCCTTCCTAAACTGCAAGATAAAGGGGTGTTTTAATTGTATTAACAGAAAAATATGCATTTTATAATAGTGACTTCCAAAATACTTTTAAACGCAACAGAAGTACATTTAAGCATTACACGGTTTCTGGTCTCTATTTTGTATTTATAGTAATAATTTTTAATGGAGATATGCTGAACTTTTGATGACTTCTAGCCTAGTTTTCACAAACACCTGCTGTTCTTACAGTCCCTTCTTCTGCAGTTCTGCCTGGTGCTTCCACAGCCATGTGTTGTTATTCATGCCATTCCTAAGATTTCTATTACAATTCTCTACAATGAAAACCACTGCAAATATACTTGCAGGCTCACCGTTGCTTCCTGAACCGTTAAAGCCTCAGGCTGCTGGACCTGCTCAGCCCACCACTCAGCAACCGCCTGTGCTAAGGATGCAGGAGCCTCTGATACCTGTGGCATCACATCCATCTCAGACAAGTGCCCCACAAAGTCTGGAACCCCCACAACCACCTCCTCGTAGCCGATCATCTCACAGTTTGCCTTCTGAATCTGCTCCTTCGCAGCAGCAAGTAAGTAAAAAAACCCCTTGTATATATGTTTTTTCATTATCTAAATTAACACAGCTTGTACTGAATGCTGCAGATTGGTATGAAACTCCTAAGGCAGGAAAAAAACAAATATAAAGTTCAGAAGATTGGATTCAAAGATCAACAGGCTTTAGCAGGATAATACTTGCTTATGTATTGTCCATGAATAACTAACATCTTAAATACTAAACATTTAACTTAAGGTTTCTTATGACAGGCTTACAACTTATGGACAGCTTTATGTTGCCATTTGATGACTTTGTATGGAAAAATACTCCATCTAAGAAATTTAATTTTATAATGACACATGCATGACAAACTGTATAATAACTAGCTAACATAGGTTTTGATTATACAGTAAGCTTTGTAGATTGCATGATGTGGTGCTATATGTTGATAAATCATTACAGGAAAATGATATGGATAGATATTTAATAGAAATATATTTCTCCCCGTTCCCCGGTGACAATTAAAATACAGAAACATATAAAAATAATCTGAAAATGTAATACAGTAACATTAATATTCTGTTCTGTCAGACCATTTAGAGTGTTATTAAAAAAAAACCAACCCTCTTTCTAGGAAAAGACATAGTTTCTTGTGGCTGTTTAAAAAATGCAGAAGTAGGTTTTCAGTGCTTTTTGCATACACATAAAGCTAAACTTCTTCACTAAAGGCTAGTGCTGTTATTTTTTAGAGTATCAGGTGCTAGGCCAGATAATATACTGCATGAATAAAAGCACAGATTTATTGAAGCTGGTGGATTTGTGCCCACTTCTTACCAAGAGTAAATCTGTAGTTTTGTTTTCTGGTGTTCGGGTTTCTTTAAACATAAACTCAGCTGTGGATATTTATGACTATGTAAGTTTTCATCAGTATTTTGGATTTTACCTTCTCTCTACATCTGAAGCCCACTTTCACTACAGCAGTTAGTTAATACTATTTTGTACCACAAAGCAGCAGCCAAATTCAGTCCTCAGCCAGTTGATTCTGAATTCTAATTGAAAAAATCTTTAAATGCTCTTCCTTTCTTTCTGCTGAACTTCTCTCTCTGCCTGTTAACTTTTTTCTGGTTGGAAACTTAGGCCAAAAAATGGGAGGATATTTTTGAATATACAGGTAGAATATCAGGACTTTTTGTAGTTTGTTAGAAAGTATAAAGTGTTGCCAGAATATACATGGAGGCATTACGGTACTTGAGAACATACCAATTTTGTGAATAGAAACAGGTCGTGTTGTGTCACTTCTGAAAGCCTCGCACCTTCTAAATGTAGTTTAACCCCTGATCATTTTGTAAAAGAGGGGCAAGCAGTTCTTTCAAAATGATTATGAAAATGACATTTGTCTGTGTGTATACACAGCAATCAAAAATATACCAAAGAACCCCCTGTAAACAGGTTTGTCAGCTGTGTAGTGCTGTGGCTCTATTGTTAACAATATCCAAACCAGGTAGTTTAAGACTAGTTCAGGGAGCTATAATTTTCCCTGCAATCGGATTTCCGTGATTAACACGGGCTGTGCAATCACAAGGAAGGCCCGATTTGAGCTTCACTTATTGTCGCCAGCTTAGGTTTTTTATTTCCATTTTCTTTTTTTTTTTCTTTGAGCTTAGTTAAATTATGTTTATTTCATGTCTTGATTATCATTTGTAAATACAAAGTTTTTTGAGAAAAGGTCTTTGAATAAATATGAAGTCTTTTGAGAGGTAGTGGATTCCAAGCCCATTGTTTGATTCAAAGCTTGACTGTGATATTTAAGAACCTAAATCTCTCCTTATAAAAATAATTTCTTGTATACAGTGTCAATATTCAGGACTCTCTAGATTACCAAGCAATACATTAAAAAAGAAAGTTGGTTAATGTAAATTAAGGAGATTTGGGGTTTTGACTGAATGACAAGCCTTATGTGTTTTTTCAGCTTGAAAAACTGCTACTATAGATGAGTCGTCATACCAACACAGTTCCCAGAATGAGATTGTGTTAATGGATGGTTAGAATTAGACCATCAATAGTCACATTATTATAATCAGTCTTCAAAAAACAGTGCAATCAGCTGCACAGTGAATGTCTGTATGGAAAAAAACAGTAGAATTGGCTTGAGCTGGTGTTTTGACTCTTAATGGTAGAGCTTATGAGTCTCACAATGGAATATAACAAAATTTTAAAATTTGGTATAGCTTGTAATAACTAGTTTTGGTTTGTATTTATATCTCAAAAAATGGCTTTGTGAGAACTTGAAGTATTTTTAACATGAGATTGCTTTTGTTACTTGGATTTTCTTCCTAATTTTCTTTCCTTTGATGTCTGTTTCTCTTTCACAAGCAGGAGCAACCATCAGGGTAACAGGTATCTGACTATTTACCAATCTTTTATGTGGTCTCCATCTATTCAAGCAGAAAAGATGTATGAATCTTGTTTTCATACATCTGCAGTCTCATCCATGTTAAAAATCACCTGTCCGCATTAATGAATTTACTGTCATACCATAGTTTGCTTTTTCCTTTCATAATGCAATTAAAATGGATACTGTTAACTGTATTTATTAGCTCCATAGGAAATATTTTGCTTCATCTTCTTTTTGTGAAACAATTGGAACCTCAAGTATGTTGCTTAGTCACTGCTGAATCTCCTGGTCTCAGTCTATTTGGAAAAAAATGAGCAGGTGTTGGAGTTAATATTTCTCTTGAAAACAAATAAATCCTGATGCAATTGCACTGCCAAAGCTGATTTTTCAAAATAAACCCCATGTTTCACATTTCTCAAAGAACAGAGAACTTACTATTGCCCAAAGTAAAATATACTGTTTGTCATAATTTTAAAAGCATTTGGTTCCAGAATTATTTAGAGCAAATTTTTACTCGCAATAAAGAGCAATTGGGATTGATAGTTTCTTTGGGATCATGTACTTTTGATTGCTTGGGTAATGAACATGGGACTTAACCAGCTGGTGCCAAGCTGCATGTGATTTATATTCTTTCTACAGTTGAATTTTTTACATTTCCCCCCTCAGTTACTCAATGCCTTTGTTTAATATTATTTTCCAAAACACTTACTATATACATATAAAAATATGAATATTGAACTACTCTATGGTTTGGTAACATGGGGCCTCATCTATTTTAGAAACTCTCTTGATGTAGTAGTTCCAGGGATGCACGTAACCAACATTGTTGTTTCAAAAAAAACCACCAGAGCAAATGCATTGTTGCCAGCATACTTCGTTTCTCCTGCCAACCAATTCAAGCTACAACTGCAATTTTTTAGAAGAAATTGCTATGCTGGATACATGGGGGAAAACTTAAAATATTCTTACTATTCCTAAGAGTCTCTAAAGCCTGTAGACTACTTTTGCATAGCTGCTTAGGCAGTGGATATGTGGAGACATGCTTCAAAGTATCCACAATAAATGCAGTAAAAACAGGATGTTTAAAGATTGAGGTTAGGCTATAATAATATTGTCTTTTAGTTGATGGTTTTAGCTAGCTTCCTAGTTCAATAAAGCATTAGTTAATGGAATTTTCATGCTAAATATCCAAATTATTTGGGTGTATTAGGGTGATGTGTCAAAATGACAAATTTGTGAAATTTGAATTCTCAGAAGCTGTTTTAACTTAAGCTTAATTCCTGGCATTCGTTTAGCAAGACGAAGCTCCACGCTCTGTTCTGCCAGTGTGATGACTTGAACAAAGGTAGATATTCTACCTTTTTGGGCAGTTGTTACGAGGTATAAAAGTTGCATTGTTATTTGAAGACATTTATAAAAACAGGAAGACTTTGTTTTTAGAAGATGAGAAGTTCTATGGAGAAAACTCTGTCTTCTCCATTTGGTATTATTCTAAACAATGATAACTTGCCATTTTAAAATATTACAAACTGATGATCGTACCTTCACATGTCAAGAAGCACTGGAGATGCCTACAGATGCATATGTCTACCTAGAAATGTCTGAAGTGCATATACTAATAACACTAATTTTTCCTTTCATTGTGGTGCTTAAATATTGCTTGTAACATCACTGTTATAAACTCTCAAAGAATGAAACCTAGAGCTTTTTATTTCATATTTGTGCTGGGTTATCACTTGTTTAGAATACAGCATCATTTCCCAAGTTTCTCAAAGATTTTCTTATCCAATGTCCCCTAGCGCTTTTGGCTAGCATTCTGACCTGCATGAAGTAGATTCAAGCTGCATCAACCAACAAGGGGGAAAATTGTGTTCGACAACAACAGTAGGCGTTTCTTCAGAGAGGGGTTAAGGGTTATTGTTTTCCAGAAAAAGAGGCAATCATTCTGCTATAAGTGCATTGTGCAAGTTACGACCAAAGCATATGGAAGTTTCAGTTTGAGCCCAGGAGCTTCTTTTCCTCTCATAGAAGAGTGAGAAATGGGGAGTTAGCAGTAATCTTAAAACGGCGAGCCACTTGATGACTAAGCACCTTGTTTTCTTTCCAGATTAAAACAAATGGGACGCACGGCACTAAACTTGAAACACAGTTAAACAGTGATCCTTTTGAAGATTTGTCATTTAAGCTGCTTGCGTCAAAGATGCAGACATCTGCTCGAACATCACCCGTTCCGACGTTAAACCAAAAGGAGATGATACAGTTGCCTTCAGCAACACAAAGAAATGCTGATATTTTGAATACTGTAAATTGCATGCCAGCAATGCCTCCTATTCCAACCTTTAACACATCCCAGGAACATAAGCGCAGCTCTCCAAATCCATTTGTTACTGGACTGAACTGCACAAATCCATTCAGTGAAAGAACTCCTAATGCTGGAAACCCGTTTAGAAAGGAAACGCAAGAGTCTGAAGTAACACCACGTTTACTAGAAGGACGTGCCGCTTGCAATCCTTTCCCTTCTCCAGATCCCCCCAGCTGTTACACAAGCAAGCCTGTATTTTCTGTTGATGCGTCTGAAAACACTTGTTGCTTGCGAAGTAAATCTCTCATGGTAAAAAATGTACAGCCAAAAGGATGGGTAACGTTTGATGATGAGGAGGAGTATTTCAACATAAAGCTAAAGCCATCTAAAAGTGTTCCAGATTTTAAGCAAATCAATTCCAGGGAGTCAGCTGGATCTCTAGATTTGCTGGGCACTGAGCAAAATACTTTTCTTGGTTCAGACTTGAACTTTGATAATGACTGGAATAAAAGTTCTACTGATTGCTTCTATACAATGCCAGCGAGAAGACCACCTGCACCTCCTGTACCGTCGAGAATAACCAGCAACAGATCCCCTGCAGATCCTTTCACTTCTTTGGCACCTAAGGTGTCACCAACACAAGATTTTACAGAAAGATAGATGTTCAAAAATAGGAGAGGTTGTATTTGTTGCTAAGTTTATCCAGTAGAATAATTGGGCATTTGAGATTATTCTGTGTGCAATAATGAATTAAGTGCACTGAAACTTAACACTACTCATAAACAGCCACTATTGTTTGTGTATACATTTCGAATATGTATATATGGTAGAGCACAAAAAATTGTCTGAAATATATGAAAATCCCGATGTAATAGTATTTGAATAGACAGAGAAAAGAAGGATGAGCTACTAATCTCAGTAAAATATACCAGTCTTGGAAATAGTTTTTGCTTAGGGAGCTCTCATTTCTGTTCCCTTCTGTGGAATTTCAAACAAACAAAAAAAAGGCTCCCTGCTGGTAGCCTCCCCACTCCCTTTTTACTGTTTTGTTAATTGATATTTATAAGTATTTACCAAAGAGCTGCCAAAGTTTATTGAGATTTGAATGTTGACAAGTATTGTTTAGAAGTTGTTTAATTTATAACAGAGGCTATGGGTATTTGTAAGGCTTATATTTGAATTTGAGGCACAACAAAAATAGTATAATTTCAAAATACAAACAAAACTTTGTGTATTAATATATTCAGTATTTGACTCTAATTTTCTGTGTCAGTACATTTCAGCTATTAAATCCTATTGTGACATATACTCACTAGCATTACTTCAGAGTAATTGTTCCGTATCATCCATTATATTCGTTACTAATTTAAGGATATATTTTTCCACAAATTGGAAACAACTGATAGAATGAGTTTTCCCTCAACCTCTGGAAAAAGAAAATTCCCCTTGTGTTTCAAGATACAAAGCAGTCTTTACCAGTTGCAGCTGATGTATTGGAGTTGGCTTGTCCCACTGTCCTCTTTCACACAGTGGGAGGGCTTTCTTGTCCCATAGAAAGACCTGAGTGAGGGAATCGGCAGCCATGTTACGGCGCCAGAAGAGGAGAAAGTCACCTTGCCTGACTGGGCTGTCTGCTCAGCATTGTCCCCACCTACTAGACTTACTGCTGTATTTTTAAAATCTTACTTTCAAAGAAAACAGGAGAACAGTAATCGTCTGAGCTGAACCGTGTCATTCTGTCGCGTTTGCAGTTAAAACTAGACGGGTGACTCCTCCTCGCCCAGAGACAGGGACCGTCGTCTGTGCGGTGCTGCTTTGAGGCTAGTGAAGGCTAAGTCACAGTTCTACATACTGTGCTATAAACCCCCAACTCTTTGTGCTTTTCTGATTTTCTAAAGCTTACATGAGATCACATAAAATATGGTATGTTGTTATCTTGAGGCAGTGTAAAATACGTGGTTTCCTTAGCTCAATTCATGTGTGCTATAAAACCCTGCAGTGCTCCTTATAATTGACAGTGTCTTGGGACACAACTCCTATATGCAGCTGCGTACTTTCACCCAAAGCTGAATGTGTCATGGTGATGTCATCTCTTGGGGGACTGCAAATACACGCCTACATGCATTGGCTTACTTGCGAACAAACTGTACTGGTTCTGCAAAAACCAGCGACTGATACACACTATACTAGCGTTACATTTATAGTAGCAAAATACACAATGACAGGATTGGGTTGTTTTTCTTTTTATTCTTAAATGGTATCAAAACATTATTTATGAAATAATCTACTCTTCCTTTAAACTTTATATGGTTAGCCATAAGCTGCAGTTGGATAGAGAAGTGACGATAGTGAGTTTTATATTGTGCTTTTTTCCATTCAGGTCATTACACAGTACTTGTACATTTTAAACAGCAGTGGTACTATAGTCTTTGTGCTTCAGTATGTGAATTACCTTGTTTTAAACTGTTGCTCTAAACATCTGTGTGATTGGTGTTTTGGTATATTCTTACATTAGCAGAACAATTTTTTTTGAGAAACCTTTTCCTAGTGGGAGTTACGTGATGATAAGTATGTTCTTTGTAGAATATTTAATTACAGTGATTAAAAACTACTGTATAAACTGTACCTGGTATACAGCACCTCTACACTTTACAGGACTGCGGAGATTTGACAGCCAAGTACTGCAAAGATCACAAGAAATGCTCCAAAAATATAGTGTGTGTGTGTGTGTGTGCGCGTATCGCTAACCGCTGTAACGTGTATTAACGAAAATAACTACTAGCAGAAGTTCTGAAAACGCTAAGAATTAAAGTTAGCAGCGCTCAGCACCTTCCCGTGAGTTCTGTGCTCCCTGGGGTGAACGGCTCCGTCGGTGCGACGCCATCCGTTGGTGGCTGCGGCCTTCCCCCGGCGGTGGCGCGCCACGCTCCGGGTCTGCCCTGCGGAAGGCGGTGGTGCGTTCACGAAATAAACAGACGTGCCCTTGACCGATTCGCGTGTTCTCTCTCTTTGTGCCGTACGTACCTCCCGGGGCCCCTC